AAAAAAAAAAACACTTATCAGCCAAGATGATGCAGTGCAACAAGAAAATAAGAGTATACCTTATATGGTAGAAAATTACCGGGACTAACGATCGTGATACATTTGGTAATCGATCGCATGGCAGCAACAGTATCCGAACCTGCTTACATACAAATTAAAATGACTTACTAAAATTGCACATGAAAAACAGTAGGCCACAAGGGACAAATGTTAAAAACTCCTACCGAGCAAACTTGTATCCTTTTCTTCATTAAATCCTGCCTTGGTCGATGATAAATCCGATATGACTTGTCTAGATCCCATTTCAACATTGACTGATTCAGAAGGTGAACTGCAATCAACATATCCATACATTAAATTAAACTTTTCTTTTCATAGTGGAGATTACTTACTGAGAAAACAATAATATTACCATGAATTGCAATCTGGAGAAGAATCCAAAACTTGCTTCGAGGACAAACCCAATCCTTCACTTGTCATATCTAAGTCTATCAAAAATTCCGATAGATTGAAGTCCAAGCCTAAAGCATCCAAGTCCAAATCAAGAAAATCCCCTTCCTCGGATTCAGATGTTGAAGTCCTGTTCGGGCTTTGGTTCTCTGTGATTGTTAGCATTTGATCAGAAGATCCAAAATCTAGTCTCCCCTTAACATGTCCCTTCATGCTAGAGCCCTTCATGTTTGTTTTCAGCGGAGAACAAGTAATTTGATTTTTCTCCATCGAGTAATATGATATTTGCTTGCTTGGGCTTACTCGAATAGTTTCCGAAGATATTATCATGCAGTTAGCAGACATAACCTGCTGAGTAGCAGTCGAACAAACTTCTATCGGAGATATGGAATTTTCAGTTTGGGATAAAGATGCTCGTGGGGGTGTTTTAGGTACCGATGAGTTAGCTGCAGAAGGAGCTTCATGGTTGAACAGACATTTTACGACATTTGACACTTGAACTTGTGACCCGTTACGAGCATTATCAAAACCAGAAGACTGAGCTGTAGAACTTAATAGATGTTTTTTGTGGTTATTTGCTGCGACACTCGATTTTGTGACTAAGTTACCATCTGCAAGAACAGAGGACCAAAACATGAGACTAACTAGACTAATGTCAAAAATCACTTGTCTTAATCATGGAATACACCTCGATTTTGCAAGCGCTTGCGGGATTTCTTTGAAACTACGGGACAATAGGGTATATCATTCGACTCTTTTCTTTTTGCAGTGGCATGATGTGGAACAGGAGTAGAGAAGCTTGAAGGATCTTTTAGAACGTTTGAAGGCTTTGATGTAGACATCAATGTCGGACTATTGTACAAGGAACATTGACCTGCAGAGCAAGGCAAATTACAATGACATGTTAATTCAACTACATGAAGCATTTTGCAATATCAAATCAGTTTATTGAAGCATTTCTGCCGGCAAACAGGCATTTCCATCTTCAAAACTTTTCTTTTCATATGGTCAAACTATGAAGTAACGACAAACCGGTGGACTTACATCATGGTTGGATTAACAATTCACGCCTAACCTCACTAACAAGATTCAGTTCATGGAATCATTGAAAAAATCAAAGGTATATTTTCTTTAACCTTCCACCATTTCAACATATCGAAAACCAGCCGACAGCTAAAAATGCAACCAACAATTTTCATCATCAAATAGTTTATACATGTATGCCTTCCCACATATTCTAGCTAATACATAGCATGCTAAAATGAGATTTGGAAAATATTTGCTACTCATCCAAATCAAGACCAAACATACTGTAATTGAACAAATGGAAACTAATTCGGTACCAGCAGGCCTTGCAGCCCCAACTTCCGCCTGAGAAGCCATCGCCCCAGATCCATCAGTTGCCGGAGGCAGCAGCTGAGGCGGGGTAAGGGCGGCATTTTCGCCGGCATTATAAACGTTCATAACATTCTGCATTCCATTCAGCAAATTCTGCACCCGCAATTTCTCCTGCTCCAAACGACGCCGTTCTTGGTCCACCCAAACCTTCTGCTCCTTGAGCGTTATGTACTCGTCCAAAATCGCGCCCAAGCTCAACAAGCTCCTCGGAGCCTGCAAAAAATTGGAAATTAATTGATCGTCGGACGATAAATAAATAGATCAAGGAGTGCAAAAAGGTGAACGAGTAGATAAAAATCACTTCTTGAACTGGAGATTTGGGGATAAGGCTGGATGCTTCAGATCGGAAACTGGCGCGCGTGTGGGCGTAATCATTGTCGGAAAGGTACCGATCGACGAGGAACGCGATCTGGACAGGAGTCACTTTACCTCTTCCGACGAGTTCTTGTTTTCTCGACCTGCTCTGCTTTCCCGTTCGCGCCATTTTTCTTGCTCTCTCTCCTCAAATTGGGAAATTGCAGAAGGTGGGCTGAAAGAGAAAGTGGAGAATATGGGGAATTAGAATGTGTTGAATGGTGTTTGCGGGAGCTTTCCAAACATTTTGGAGGTAAGAAGAGAGAGAGAGCTTAGTATAACAATGGCGGGGTTGGGTTTTAACAGTTTGAATTTTGGGGTCTTTTTTTTCATATGTTTCATTTTCCCTCCAACTCCTAAATTGGGCGGGGGCGGTAAACCGCTTAATGGGTTTGGATCCAAAACCAAATGGGATACCCAATAAATTTCACGAAATTATAAGGTTGGGCCTGCCGATTCGTGGCCCAATCCAAATGGTTGCCGGACCTAATATTATGGAACTTGTACCTATCCGACAAAAGCCGGTTCTGGTTCGAAATCGGCACGCTCAGATCCAGTTTTGGTCGCTCGGTTTCGAGGCCTGATCCCAATATATTTATACTTTCATACATTTATTTGTTAAAAATTAGTATAAATTTCGATTTTCAAATTAGTTGTTGTGGTGTAGACCCGTTGGGCTTTGAACCATTCCCGTAACTAACTGGTCAACTTTTATAAATGAGCTTAGAACCGATTCGGCCAAAACACAAGACCCATTCTGATTCAAGCATAAAGCTCGGTGGTCAAGGGGGCAAGCAGGTCAACTGATCGACCCTACCCATTATCCATGCATCAAGACCCAACTTGTTCACATCCTTAAGATTCAAGCTTGGCCCAACAAATTTTAAACTGAGCCCATTTAGTCGAGTCTTATGCCTTACTTCTTTATGAATCTGACCGGCTCGATTGAGACGAGAAGGAAAAAAAGTCGCTAAACCTTTTTTTATAGTTACCATTGGATTGGTGTTAATTAGGGGTGAGCATTATTTGGATAAAACCGAAAAAAACCGACTGAACCGAACCGAATAGTGTTGTTGGTTCGGTTTTTTTTTTTATTTCCTAAATCGGTTCGGTTTCATTTTTTAAAAAAAATCGGTTTATTCGGTTCGGTTCAGTTTTGGAAAAAATAAATTCGGTTTACCCGAACCGAACCGAATTTTTTATACTAATTAGTAAACTTTAATAGTAGTGGTCCATTGCCCAACCCAACAGGTAAATAATAAAAATTAAATTTTAGATTTTAGATGTACCAAAAAAAAAATAGATTTTAGATATGTATGCCAATTTCATAGCCCAACAACTAAATAATATAATCATATTTTAGATTTTAGAGAACTTGTGATAAAAATTATTATGTTTTGGAACATGTATT